TTAAAATATATATTATATTCATTATCATTTAATAGTTAATAATTTTTAATTTACTAAATAATATTTTTATATTACAAATTTTAAAATTTTAGAATATTATACGTGATAAGAAAATAATAAATATTAAATTTTTATTTGAATTGTAGCATTTAATAGTATTAATGTATTGAATTATATTAATATTCATAATTTAATAAAAACTTATTATATATAATATTGCATATATTAAAAATTTATTTATATTGATAATAATTTAAATTAAGAACCTTTAATTAACTCGACTCGTCGCAGAGTTACCTTGTTTAATTGGTGAGTTAGGTGGATAACTGAAAAACTTGAGTTACTTTTTTCTATAATCCAGTTCACTAAAAGCTTAATATGAATTGAACCGACTTATAAAATGATTAATTAAATTTGTTTTTTAAAAAATTAAAAATTCTGTGTAGTTATTTTTTCTTATTTGTTAAATTTTTCTTTATTTTTAATTTCAAAAGAAAAAATTAAAAAAATTATAAAAAATGAGTATTACTATTTAACGCAAAGAAGTATATACTTTATAAAGACTGAAAAAATTCCCAACTCCACATATAACATTATATATCAAAGAATCAAACAATAAATTAATTCTTAAAATTATAAATATCAGTTAATTTCTGTTCCCATTTCTCTCACATGAACCCAGAACAGTACGGAAAAATATTAGTTAATTTTGTTCCTTTTATTATGAAAAGGTAAATTTAGTTACTGATACCACCAATTAAATTAGCTTTTAGTAGTTAATATTATAAAAATAATTAGTTTAGTTCATTAATTTGATAAATATCATTTAATTTCTACGTTTGACAATCATAAGCTAAGTTAATTCATATTTCAAGAGTTAAATTAATTGACATCTAACAAAATTAAGAATGAAATTGATTGATGTAAGCATTTAAAATAAATATTAAAAGCACTGATAGTTGTACAAATTAAAAGTTAAATTGATAGATCTTTAAAGTTGGTGACTAAAATTAATATTTATTAATTTTAATGATTGTGATTATATATAGCAATTTTAAGGACTGATATAAGTTGTAGTTATAAATTTACTCATACATACAGATATAACTCTCTTTTTTCTTTACCACATTTTTTCCACATCTCTGCAATAATTATTTCCTTTTTGGCAAATTTTCAGTCCTCCCTGCAACGAAATGCACGGCCAAAAACCTCAAAACTCGCGAAGACTTAAAGGGATTTAAGAAAATTCCAAGTATATAAGCCTTGAATTCCTGTTTGTTTATGTTAAAATAATCAACTTGAGTTCAGGTTGACACTTGATAGTTCCATATTAGTTTATATTCTTTGGTGTTTAGATGAAACTTATTATTATGATAGTAAAACAACCAAGTACACTCACCAACACACAAAAACATGCTTTAACGCGCGTGCTAGCATGCAGGTGGTTCACATGAATTTTTATACACAAGTCCCCCATTAAGTGAGTGATTATGAGTTTATAATATCTAAACATGGGGAGAACAAGAACTAGACAAACATCAAACATAGGTGCTAAAAAAGCTAAACAAGAACAGCCAAAAAGCCTATTTGGGGATTGAAACTCAAACTCATATAATACCGTACCATTAGCTTAAAGTCATGAGTTCAGTTCCAATAATCCTGGCAAAACATACAAACAAAATGTCATCAATTAATCAACGTATAACAAAGACTCTTTTAGTTGAGAAGTTTTATTTGATTGAGCCTAACACATGACATATCATAATATCAAAATGTTCAAGAATTGGCAAATGGTTTAACAAAAATTAAGTATGCGGGTCTTTGGAGTTTAGAGTAGAGAGCATGCAATGGGTGGGAGAGACAAAGAATGGGGTTGGGGTCAAGATGCATGAGGAATTGAGGGAGAAAGGATATGGGGAATGAAAAGAAGCGTGTGAAATAAAAATCAAATGTTTCCTTTGCGTATAACAAGAGTGTCGAGTAAGGGAAGGTGGATGAGGGCACAAGGTGATATTAGACACTACCCAGTTATATATGTTTTGTTTTCAATCATCAATGCACAATGGGAGCACCATCTGAAGTAACTTCTGCTATTACCCATAACTTGTTTAATATAAACAAAATTTGCTACACAATAGAAAAAAAAAAAATCTGTCAGGAGTGCCCATTCGTGTCAATTAATTAATTGTAGCACTAGCTATCACATTTTATTTTAAAAAGAATCTTAGTTTTTCTTTTATAATATATATGAATTGTCTTTCCCTCTTAATTTTGACGGTGAGGCTCAATCAATTTTATGAGTTGAACCTAATTAAAAGCATAAGGGTATCACATGTCATTTTATCATTGTGGCCATGTAGGGATAAAGGAAAGACAGTGAGTTCCCATTGTGCCTTTTCTTTTGTAGGGAAGAATTATTATTTTTTTAAAACTCTTGTATGGTGGTTAGAGGAGGTGTTCTCATAAGTTAAGCATCGTTATTTTGGTAAGTTGAAAAGTTATGGATGAATCACTTTCTTGGTTGATGCAGTCCTCTTCTAGATAAAGCCCAGTGAATGATTTCAACACTTTTGGCTAAGGACTAAGAACCAATACAAAACAGAACAGGTGTTGCTCATAATCATAATTCACACTACTATGGCTCGTGACTGGCGATGACAACTTATTTTCTTGGATAAGCCTCGGTTCTCTTGGTTCACATCACAGCTCTCAAGACACACCACACCCACGATCAAATTTTCAGGTGGTGGATATTCAATGATTCTCAAGAACCCATAAAAAAGAATTTTTTTTTTTTTTGGGTATGTAACATACGTGTTAAAAAATTAATTTTGATTAAAAAAATCTAATATTTAATATTATTATACATTAAAATTTATAATATTATATATATTTTTAATAATTTTTTATTATATTTCTATTCTTATTCTATATCCTTAACTCACGTTAAAAACATTTTTAAAAAAATCTCATTTTAGAATGAGGTAAGGGGCAACATGGAATCCTGTCATAGGTGAACAAGACCTCAAATTGCCACCCCAACTCGCTTTAGAGTTGGAACCACATAGGTATGGTCCTCTTCATAAAAACTGACATTAAAATCGAACACATGTCCTTTTTGGAAGAGGGTACTTCCACTACACCTTCCCATTTATGTGGATTAAACAATAAAAGTTTTGTGCTATTTAATGGCTGTCGCTAAATCATATTTGGCGTAAAATATTATTTTTTTGTGAAAGTTTGAGATTCATGTTGCATTCTGTAAAACTGAGTAGACTTCCATTTCGAAGAAAACAACTATTCCATTTTGCGTTTTGTTTCTATGTAAACAAGAATGACAATTTTTAGCGTAGGAAAGGGGACTTTTGTAAGTTGAAATAAAAGACTCATTTACTTTAATTATTTTGATATATCCTTTTATCAACAGTTAAACTCTAATCCTTTTTAAGGTGAAGAGATCCATGGATGTATACATTCTTTTAACAATATCTTTTTTCATATTAATCAAGCATCAAATCTTGATAAGTTGAAATATATTTAGAAATTAGATTTAAAAGAAAATGGGATGAGATGAATATTTCTTTTTAATTTCTAATACATATTCTTTATTTGACGCTATTAAAATAAAATTAATATAATAATATTTTTGCATAAAAATAACTTCTGAATGTTAGTTTTTATAAATATTATATAATTATCTTAATTTAAAAAATAAAAGTTATTCTTATTTTTTCTTTTACTCCAAACTCACTCTTATACTTACCTTAAGAAAATCAACTGTTCACCAACTACCGGACCTTATTAGTTCTACTTATAATTTTATTTTATATTGATTGAATGCACAAAAAATAAGAATTGGATAAAAGAAAAAAGTACAATGACATTCGTGAACAAATATATGAACATCAAAACAAATATCTAGATATAATCTATGAAATTTTGTTCTATTTTCTATTTTGATTTTAAATTTTATTACAAATATTGAATGAATTGGAGAAAAGTACAGTTCCATTATTGAACAGACAAACATTAAAATGATAAAATTAATGTATTTTGTTACTACTAATAAAGAGAAAACTCAAGCATTCCATATAGAGAGAGAGACACCTGAAGCTGTTTTCTACCTTCATATTTTAATGCCAATTTCTAATATAATTTTATTTTATTATAAATTCTTATGTAACTGTTAATCCTTCTATTCAATCGTTTTCTTTTAATTTCATATTAAATAAAATTATGTCAACATATATATATATATATATATATATATATATATTATAGAAATACTTTATAATGTAATTCGTCATTCTTTGATAAACAATCTCCTAAACATAAAATAAAAAGATCAATATTAATTAGAATTTTAAGGATAATTAAAACTAAAAAAAAATTACATTAATATAAATTCTTATGTTATTTAATTACTTAATTTTTATTCAATTAATGAACAATCTACATCTTCTCTTTCACACACACACTTGCACACACAAACGCTATAGTATACATAAGTAAAAATAGATTTAGAAGCAAGTTGGCATACACATTAGAAAGATAATTTTTTACTGTACCAGATAGAAAAAAAGTTATTTCTCTGCACACAAATTTACTTATTTCTTTTAATTTTCAAGTAAATAGAAAGTAAAAATAAAAAAGAAGCATTTGGTTTTGGAGAGTAATTTATGTTGGGACCGGGAGAATGGTACTCTGCGCGTGCTAACTGCTAAGAGTCACGTGCGAAGACCAACGGAGTTTTTATATAAAGGCATGGAACTTAGAAGAGTAGTAGTGAAGGAAGCATAGAGTATAGTCTATATTAGTGTTGTGTAGTAATGGTAGTTAATGCTTGCAAATTTTCCTTAACACTTGCATTTGTATGAGTTTTTTGTAAGCAGTGGAAACAGCGTTTGGGGGGAGATTCTTAGTTTGAGATTACAAAATCTGTTGTGTGTTTGTGACTGTAGAGAGTTAATACAACTAACTAGCAACCTTAAAACTAACATATGGAGACACGAAGTGAGATAAGGCATTCAAAGTTCAAGAGAATTTGTGTGTTCTGTGGGAGTAGCCCCGGCAAGAAGAGTAGCTATCAAGATGCTGCTATTCAACTTGGCAATGAATTGGTACACTACAGTAACACTTTGCTTATTTTTGCCACTCTTTTCTTCACCCTTTTTTTTCACTTATTCGCTATCTTTTCTTTCCTCAAAAATGCCCAAAACTTTGTTTATAGTGTTTTCTCTGTCTTTCACTCTTTCAAAACCAAAATTCATGCTGTTTCTTCATCATAGACAACAAGTTCAATAAAGTGAAAATTTGCTTAGTTTTTTTCTGTGTTTACCTTTCGGTTCTCAAAGCTCCAAGTTCATTGCTTTTTACTACCTCTTGAGCTTTTTGCTATGGACTGAAGAGTGTACGGAGTTTACAAGTGCCATATGCTGAGTGAGAGTTGGAGAATCATTTTCAGTGCTTTTTTTATCTTTCTCTTTTACTTTGTGTCTTACATTTCAAACAGTGATAAAAATGTACTCTCATGGGATTGTTTACCAGATGGGTCATTCATTACTCATGCTTTTCTTTTTTGACATGATACACAATCATAGCCACCACTATTGTTTGCTTTGGTTATTTAGTATTTCTAGGCATGTTAATAGTATTGTTAATGGTGTTGGAAGGTATCAAGGAACATTGATCTGGTGTATGGAGGTGGAAGCATTGGTCTCATGGGTTTGGTTTCGCAAGCTGTTCATGATGGTGGTCGCCATGTCATTGGGTAACATAACATGACACTCTTTTTCTCTTTTCCTCACCGTTCTGTTTTTCGTTTTTTCTTTCTCTTTTTTCCAACAAAGATGTTGGGTAAAAGAGTAGAACAAGAACTCATAGTCAATGAATAACCACCACTGTGCTTTTTGTTGTTCTCTTTCACCGTTGATGCTATATTTGTCATGTTATTGTCTCTTGCAGAGTTATTCCCAAGACACTTATGCCTCGAGAGGTATGTGTAGAAAAAGTTTAAGCCCTTTTTTGTTGTTATAAAGTTTTGCTGGTTGTGTTTCTTATTTTATTCATTTCTCTTCTTCATCACTCGAATTTTGGTTTTTTATATTCTATTCGTGTATTGTGTTTTCAGTTAAGCTAAGGCTTCATTCCCCTCGGCTTCATAAACATATTGCAATTTCAAAACTGGCTATTTTACAGTTTTGTTACTGTTTTGTTTCTTTTGGCCAATGCTTGTCTCGGTAGTTTTGTCCAAGAATTTACCACCGCAATATCTGGCACTTATGCTTCTGCATATCCTGTTTCTCTCTGTTTTCCTTTTGCAAATAAGCTTTTTTCAAGAAAAAAAAGGAAATATCTTCGGTTATAATTTCTTAAAAACTGTTTGTATTATGGACCTGCAACTTTCATCATTACTAAATGCTCTTCTTTGATTCCCCTTTGCAGCTAACTGGTGAAACTGTAGGAGAAGTAAAAGCTGTTGCTGATATGCACCAAAGGAAGGCTGAGATGGCTAAGCATTCAGATGCCTTTATTGCCTTACCAGGTTAGCCTGCCAATATTTGTTTGAACATTTGAATCAGAAGCACACTAACAAAAAGTACAAGTTTGTAGAACCATGAGGTGCTTCAATCCTTGTCCAAATAATATTCTCATTAATTTTTCTTAATACCTTTATAAAATAAGCTTGAAGTAAAACGGTGAAAACATTTAATAACTTAAAAGCATTCAATACTGCTTTATATAATAAATAAGAACATGTTGTAAAGAGATTTAAATAAAAAACTCTATAAAATAAGAATTTGATTCTTGGGAGAACAGTTAACCGACATTTTTCCCGTTGATTTCTCGGTGTTACTACTACTATTGTTGCTTTTCAGCAAAATGGTTTTTGTCTACAAAAGTTTCCAAACTTTTTATACTGACAAGCTATGGTGTTTTTCTTTGCCAAACCTTTTTGGCTAAGCACTTTTATAATGTTGACCAAGCCTAATTAAGGAGATTGCTTGACAAGGCGTTACATAAATGTGTGGATGATTTGGAAGTCACAACAAATAATGGGTAACGTTGACTAGTTATCCACTTAGTAAACATCAAGGCACGAAGGTTAGGACAGGAATTTCAGAATTCTTAAAAAGTCTCAAACCATATTGTGTGCCACTTATTCAATTCAATGGACACTGCTGCAAAACCCATTTTGATGGCTTTCTTACACACATTCCAACGCTATGATTAGAGAGCAACCCTTCAAAGATAAGCTGAAAATGATATTGACCTTACCTTAACCCTTAATATATATTATATCATATATATATTGGAGTAATTAGAGCTTCTGCGGCTCTGAGCAACTGTGGTTTCTGGTTCAGGTCGGTTGAATACCATTTTCTACCTCAACTTTGGTTTGAACCGTGACGTGATTATACCAAACTTCCTTTCTTTGATAAGGAGGGGAAGTAAAGAAAATGAACTTTCACGAGATAACGTTTCCAACTAGCACCTGCACCTGACATGGAATAATGCTTGACCCTTTTCGAAAGACCATTTTAACTGGTCCTTGTTATCATTCTCAGTGAATAATTGACTGCTGAAAATTAGTGACAAAGAGAGAGAGAGAGAGAGAGAGAGAGAGCATGCAAAGACAAAGTTGTCATTCACTCTATCTTGGGATCCCTCGTACGAAAGTGGATTCCTCAGGAGGGTCAATACATGATCTCTATTGAACTCTCCCTTCACACTGCCAAATCCATGATTGCATTTGAGCACCTAATAGTACTAAATACTACAGGGCATCCAACATTGAGGAGTTAATGTAAAACCAGGAATTTCAAAGATACCCAACAAAAATTGAAATACAGTTTCAAATTGTTAAATTGAATTTCAGTTCCCCTTTTGTTTTCGACTAGGATGAGCCAGTATAAGTGAAAATCTTCAATTTGACTGTTTTCTTTTTCATTTTCATCTCAATAATGGAAGTCCTATCCTATGTTTGTCCTCTCAAATCATGGAGAAACTCATGCAAGTTACATGCAGGTGGATATGGGACTCTAGAGGAGCTTCTTGAAGTCATAACCTGGGCACAACTTGGGATTCATGACAAGCCGGTAATTGGTTGGTACCATTTTGATGAGACTTCCCATTATTTATCAATGTGCTAATCAGGTTTAAGATCCCAAAATTGTAGGTGGGATTAGTAAATGTTGATGGGTACTTCAATTCGTTGCTGTCATTTATTGACAAAGCTGTGGAAGAGGGATTTATTAGTCCAAATGCACGCCACATAATTGTATCAGCACCAACAGCAAAAGAATTGGTGAAGAAATTGGAGGTATTATTTGTCCTCACTAAATTTGCATCTTGTTACAATATAACTAATATTGACTTTTACCCTCAAATGATTTGATTAGCCTGATATCCTCTAATTTTATTCTGAAAAGTCTTGTGAGGATTTGTGGGCATTTCAACTCCTTTTCAGTTTGATTCTCACAATTTGAAGCAACTGTCCCGTGAGAATCATTTTCTCTGATTCCATTAGAAAAGTCACAATCAGAACAAAAGTTTCTCTGATTTCGTACTATTTATGTAAATAGATAATTGAAATATTTGTACATGCAAAAAATAAAACTTGATTTTCAGATTAAGGGCAAAGAATATTTTTCCTTAGATGTTCAAAGATGTGCACATTCATGTCATATAGTTTATAAAATCAATTGCATACGTAATCAACTTTTCTCTGCAAAACTATGATATGAAAGAAGAAAGTGAAATATTTTTGTGTTTAATTCACAGGATTATGTACCCTGTCATGAGGGTGTTGCTTCCAAGTTGAGCTGGCAGATGGAACAGCAACTCGCTTACCCTCAAGATTATGACATGTCAAGGTAGTTGGCTTACTTCACGTGCACGGAAGATGAGACCATATATAGAATTTTGAAGTTGGAAGAAGCTATTTTCGACTATTGCTATTCTGTTTTTTTTTGTTTTTTTTTTTTTTCCTTTTTAATTTCTTGTGTAAATTACTGGGATTGACCTTAATATGTGATACTACTTTATTACCTTGTGAAACCCTGATTTTCTTAAAAGTTGTAAGTACCCGCTTCTGAACTCATTATTCAATGCCAATTAATTTTTAAGCTTAATTGGCCTTCTGAGTTGTGAGTTATCCCTATGTCCTCTGTGTTATTTGGCCAAGAAAAGCATCATATCACTACTCATATAGTACTTCCTCTTCTAGCAGTTATTTCATTTAATTTGAAAGTTTGTTCTAATCTTTTATTTTAAAAATTTTTTAAATAGGAAAAAATAACAATAGAAAAAATTATTAAAATAAATCCAACAATAAATAGTCGACTTTACATGATGAAATAAGACGTGGTAGTTAATATTGTTATAATGTAAAAAAGTTCAATTTTAAAAATATTTGCCAAGATATAGTTGATAGAAGTACTTAATTAAGAGATAAAAAGACTAAAAGAGAATGAAACAGACGACTAGATTGGGATAATGTACAGAACTAAGGTCCAACTTAAATGTTGCCAAGTGCTAATAATTAATAATGGGGCCGAATATGAGACATAAATGTTAATGGCCTGTCTTGAAGTAACCAGTTTTGAAGTTGAAGAGGTCTAAGAGTGACAGAACTAAAGACAACACAGACAAGAGAGTCACTCAAGCAGGGGCCAATTCTTGAATGGAAGTGCAATGCTAAGAAAGGATAGTATTCCTCAACTCAGTTGGACGAAGAGAGTGAAGTTTGTAGGGCCTTTGATCCAACAGCAAATGGGACAGTGCCATGTGTTGCAAAGGGCAGCATGGGATCCAAAGAAAAAGTTAGAGGGGTCATGTGGCACATGCATCTGAAGACAATATGATGGCCATCTTTGGTCCCCGGTCTCATCTAACAATTGCCCGTGTTTGAAACAATTGCTTTGTACATTTTCAGAGATATCTCCGGAAGTTTTTAGTGGTTGTGTAGTCATTAGTTTTCATGTATTCCTTTGAAAATGATGTTGAAAGTTGAAACATGCCATTGCAAAGAGAGGAATTAAAAGGTAACATCAAGGTCAGATATGTAACACTTGATTCCTTCACAAGTTGTTATTACTCGAATCAGCTTTATAAAAAAAGATGCATTCTTTATTCAACATAGTAAAAAAGGGTGGCGTTGACAATACATTTCCATCATCAATTTTTTTCTTTTAATTTCAGTCTTAGAATTAAGTTTAAATATTAAAAATTAAAAAAATGTAGAAATCTATTTATTTTATAAGATTTTGATTGCAAATTCAAGGAGAAAGAAATAATTTTTAAAAATTCCTATTTTAAAGGATTTTTGTTAACATTTAAAGAGGAGTTTAACTTCCCTTCTTTCTTTCTCATCATTCAAATTCTTTTTTCTTCTTTCTTTTCAATCTCTCAAATAAGTCTAAAGTTGTAAAATTATAAAAAATATAATAAATACTTATATTTTTAATAAAATCTTATTATCATTTGCTGTTTAGCTTTGATCCTAAAGACAAGCTTAATATGTATTTTTTTAAAACTCTTTTTGAACATTCAAATCCACAATGTTTGAAAAGGAAGGAAGAAAACATTGTAATGATAGATGAAGGGAGAAGCAATGTGGTACTAGATGAGGATAGGTGGTCATGAAGGAGACACAGTTCTTCATCTTTAACCAAAGAGTAAAAAGGAGAAGGGAAAAGCTCTTTTCTTTGTATCAGTCAACTTGTTTAAAATAAAGAGCTAGTCTTGGCTATTGACTGTAGTATATACGGTTGACTGTGCATTATGCAGTGCTAGTTTTGGCAAACATCTACGTCTAGGACCACTACCTTGTAAAAGCACCTTTCAAGGAATATTTTATTGTTATGTTAGGTAACATTAGTTGTATATTATAGTTAAACGTTGTTTTTCAGTTTTCTTAAGTTATAAGGACAGCCATTACATTGCTAAATTTCCGTTGCAACTGTTGAAAACAATTTCTTGAACCGTGTCTGCTAGATAAGGAAAATTCGATATCAAATTATCCTATTTGCTTGTTTCACCTTATACAGAAATTTACCTTTGTATTGAGCAAATACAATAGTCTAATCTTTTCGTTGGTCCTTTTCTTTTAACCGACAATGGCCTTTTTATTTTTAATAAAAAGTTACTTGTTGCCTAATGTGTCTTAATCATTACTATTGCGCTCTTCGTAATATTTGTACTGAAAATTGGTACCCAATGTGAAGACCAAGTTTAATGACATTAATCACCCCATATGGCTTGGCACTTTTGTTCTTCAAATTTGCAGATAAAGTTCTTAGAATCATCATGAACCTATGATTGGCTTTATTGTTTCTTTATCCTTTTTTAAGTTTCACCTTAACAGATCAAAAAATTACAAACACTCTTAAGCTATATAAAATGAAGTGGATCATTTATGGCGGGAAAGTGAAACAAAATGTCTCAGTACTAGTACCTTAAGAATAACAATCGAAAATTATTTAATATATTTTAATGAGTACTTTTGTACTGTTTTGATGTAATTAATTTTAATTAAATAATTTGTATTTTTTACTTTATCATAAAGCAAATAGAGAAATAAAAGGCTAGACCTCCTACTTTAACATATAAACAAAAAATTACATTCAAATAATGCTTCAACTAATAAATAAACTTGAAATTACATGACCTTTTCGGTCTTGAAAGTTTGAGCTCATAAAAAAAACACTTCTAACAGAGAATTACTTCAATATCCCAACCAAATCAAAATAATGTTAAATAAACCTGTTAACATCAAATAAATCAAAGACATAAGTCATAGAAATTATATGTACCCACTTTCGGGAGCACACGTAAATATTTATGTTTAGCCACTTTTAACACCAAATCAATTCTTGATCTCAATAAATTACATTATCACATTTCTAGGCCCACACTGTCAACATTGTTAATTTATCCAATGGGATAGAACAGCAAAGAAGACTGTAATCTTTTAAATCAAAATAAATTAACTTCTTCCACTTCCCCACATTCTATTTTCATTCCCTTTTTTTTTTCTCGAGCCCTACAAGTTTAATTTCAAATTAAAAAAAATATCAAGTTAAACTATTTTGAAGTCTTGTTCTTTTTGGTCAATTTTTGAAGTCCTAAAGTTGGATTCTTGTTTAAACCTATTTGGGCCTAATATGCCCATTTAGCCGTTTAGATATGGGCATAAATAAAAACCAAATTTCACATAAATTTGGGTTTGTTATGGGTCGAACTAACAGTAAGGCCATTTGAAGCCCAAATTGTAGTATAGTAAAGAGCACGTATAACCAAAAAAAAGAAAAGACAACTTTAACGAGGGTTTTTACTTATGATTTTCGCTTCCAACTTATAGTCTTGTCGGCAAAATCAGTCCAGCACGCACACTGCCATGGCAGGCACGCACCTCCTTTCTCACTCTCCTTCCCTTTCTAAAACCTATAACCATTCCTTAAACACAAACCCTTTATTTCAAAAGCTAGTTCTTCCCCTCAAGTTCAAACCCATCATCAAACCGCGTGCTCTTAGGGCGGTTCTCTCCCAGAATGCTCCCAAAACCCCAGTAGAGGATTCAAAGAAGACTCATTTTCAGCACTGTTTCTCCATATCCGAAGATGGGTATCTGTATTGTGAGGGTCTTAAGGTGCATGACATCATGGAATCTGTTGAGAGAAGACCTTTCTATTTGTACAGCAAACCCCAGATTAGTAGAAACGTTGAAGCCTATAGAGATGCATTGCAAGGGTTGAGATCTATAATTGGTTATGCCATAAAGGCCAACAATAACTTGAAGATTCTCGAGCATTTAAGGCACTCGGGTTGTGGTGCTGTGCTTGTAAGTGGCAACGAGCTTAGACTTGCCCTTCGTGCTGGTTTTGATCCCGCAAGGTTCAATTACACTCTACCCATTATTGTGTTATGTTATTTCTCTCCCACGTTTTAATCAAGTTTTGAACTTGCATGATTTTGGTTCAGATTTCAAACTACATTGTTTGGCATATTTGCTTTAGATTTCTACTTTGTGTTGTTAAAATTTTTTTATGATATTCTTAATCAATATTACGTGGACGAATAGGTGTATCTTTAATGGAAATGGGAAAATCTTGGAGGACTTGGTCTTGGCTGCCCAAGAAGGTGTGTTTATCAACATTGATAGTGAATTTGACTTGGAGAACATTGTAGCGGCTGCTAGAATTGCTGGAAAGAGGGTGAATGTCTTACTTCGGATTAATCCTGATGTTGATCCACAGGTATGTTGTTGTAGAAGTTTATTACATGAGTTCCAAAGTTTGACTCATGCATCTTGTAATTCACCTTGAGGCTAGATACTTCGGTAATTTTTTGTAGATAAGTTGTTATATCTCGCCGCGTATTGGTAAGTAAGTGATGAGCAACTGAGGAATGGATAGGTACAAAGGAGCTTCCTAAGAATGTAACTTTTAATTCTTTAACAAAATATGTTTAGCTACTAAAACTAATGGAGCTAAAATAATTTGAAGTCTTGAAGAAACTGATTTGTAATGACTAACAAATTCATTTAAGTTCTATTTGATGCATTCCCTCAGGGCATTTGGTTGCAAACTACCTTCATTATTTCAACATCAACAATGTTCACAAGCATTTTCATTTTCCATTCCTATGATATCTTTCTTCCGCTGACATTATAAAATCCTCAATTTCAATTTTCATCAATTATAGTGGTTTCCTTCTCTCTTCCTACATTTACCTTCATTGTCACTAAAACGTTTTTTTACCAGTCGTGATTGACTGTGTAGTAAAAAACTCTCCATTGGACAAACTTGAGACATCCAGATTTCTAGTTCTCATTCGCATGGTTAATATTATGTTTAGTATTTGAAAATATTTAAACTTTTCATCCTTAGGTTCATCCTTATGTTGCCACTGGGAATAAGAACTCTAAATTTGGCATTAGAAATGAGAAGCTGCAGTGGTTTTTAGATGTAGTGAAGGAGCATCCTAATGAGCTCAAACTTGTAGGGGCTCACTGCCATCTTGGTTCAACAATTACCAAGGTTAGTTGGGATTTTTTTCTTTTTCTTCTTGCTTTGCTACTTTTGGATATACTTTTCTTCTATTTATGGTTTCTTCGTTGAGCATTCATGCTTTCCCTGGTCAATTTGTAGTCTTGCACTACTGTATGTTGATTCTTAATCTAAATATAATTGTTGAAACTATTGTTGCTTTTTTTTCTCCCACTCCCCCTTTTTAGGTAGACATTTTCAGGGATGCAGCCACAATTATGATCAACTACATTGACCAAATTCGAGCCCAGGGTTTTGAAGTTGATTATTTAAATATTGGTGGAGGACTTGGGATAGATTATTATCATTCTGGTGCTATCCTTCCTACACCAAGAGATCTCATTGATACTGTGAGAATCTTCCCATTTGTCTCACTTCATATTTACATTTTGTATTGCGTACAAAAATATAAAATATCACTTGATAGCCTGGCTAATTCAATTTTTTGTTTTTGCGGTTGGAGTAGGTGAGGGAGCTTATTCTTTCCCGTGATCTTAATCTTATCATTGAACCAGGGAGATCCCTGATTGCAAACACATGTTGCTTAGTTAACCGGGTGACAGGTGTCAAAACTAATGGATCTAAAAACTTTATTGTAATTGATGGAAGTATGGCTGAACTTATCCGCCCAAGTCTTTATGATGCTTACCAGGTAATTGTTAGTTGCTTATGGCTTATCATCCAAATCATCAATATTGGAGCATATGCATAACAGTAACAGATAGATAGTTTTTTCTTACAAGAATTTTGTGTCTGATGGCTCCTTTCTGCTAGGGATTTCATTCGGAAATAATGAGGATTCTAGACCTTTTGAATGCATGTTCTTTCAAATAACATATAATTTCCTGTTAAAACTTGCTCAACTTATTAATGTATTATTGTTTGGCTGGGATGCCACAGCCTACCGCTTATTGTCTGTGCCAAATCTAATTTAAAGAACAAAAAAACTTGTGTTTTTGGCATTTGGATTACCCCTTTCCAAATTCTGGTTGAATCTCAACACTATTGATGTGAAAGCAGATTAAAATTGAACTCAGTTGGATTTAGCATAGCATTCAAAGCTGTCATCTAAAGAAGAAAAATGCATTCTAAAGCAACTGCTTAGATGTTGACGGAGCATAAGGGCATTATGGTTATCTGGTGCTATCCTTATGCAACTGGGTTGTGTCATTTTTAGTTTTCATGAATTTTTAATGTCATCTCACTGTTTGGTCGCAGCATATAGAGCTGGTATCCCCTGCCCCATCAAATGCTGAGATGGCAACCTTTGATGTGGTCGGCCCTGTCTGTGAGTCTGCAGATTTCTTAGGAAAAGGAAGAGAACTTCCTACTCCAGCCAAGGTAATATAATGTATTGATATCTTATATTTAAACAGTTGTTCAAATAATATACATGCATAATCTATGCAAAACTATGATGATGACAACAGTGGCAACTTGTTGAAACTATCTGATCTGTGTTTCACTTGCAGGGTACTGGTTTGGTTGTTCATGATGCTGGTGCTTATTGCATGAGCATGGCATCAACTTACAATCTAAAGATGCGGCCTCCTGAATATTGGGTATGGAATTGCCTTTTCCTCTTGCTAATCAGTCTTTTTGGGTAGGCTTTTATGTAGTACAGAGTGGTTGAATGGAAAAATGCATTTTGATGGTCGTTAATGAGAAATAATGTATTATTGTAAAACCTTTTTGAGTAGGATCTTTTTAATGCTTTTTACTTTATGTTTTTTATGGTCTTCAGTAAAATCATTTGAAGCTTTAAATAAATTAGAAAAAAAAATATATATTACTTGCTGCAATTAATAATTGAAAGCTATAATATTGAATAGCTTGTTTCTTGTTGGCAATGGTGTAATTTGATCTATAGTTTTTGTAAATACCTCGTAAGTTTTATGCTTGCGCTCCTTATACACAATCCAAGTGAGAACTTTGCATGAAAAAACACAATTTTAACCTCGTTATTGATTTGTTATAAAGCATATCTTTTTTATTTTGTATAATTTTTAGGTTGAAGACGATGGATCAGTGAGCAAGATCAGACATGGAGAGACATTCGAAGACCACATTCGGTTTTTTGAGGGCCTTTAAGCTGATAACTTACCCTCTTGTAGGAAAGAAGGCTGCAGATTTTTGTCATCTATTTGTAGTTTGGATCTGTCCTTTCTCAATGAATTGGATGACACTTGGTTTTTTTCCTTCAATTTTAATTGAATGTCGACGCTCTTGGTAGGAAATGAGAATAAAATTGATTTCAGTTAGATTTAACACGACATTTGATTTCCTCCTTCAAGTGTCAATTTAGCCAGGTGCAACTATCGGTTGAAATGTAGTGCTTATGTATGATGATGGTATATATTTGATAATCTTACTTTGTGGTGTGTGTATTGCATCAAATTCTTACGCCTCCAATCACCTCCTTACACTTTTACATGTACATAGACTTTCAGGCTGTTTCTGTTTCTATCCATCATGCTACATTATAGTTGTGACTGTTTGTATTCATATTGTCATTCCTCATGTCATAGCCTATGAAACCTCTTAAAATTTTCTTGGACCTTTTTGCGTCTGATACCGTGCACTGAAAGCAATGTTAGTGCCTCAACTTTTTACGTGTGGTTTTGTCACTTGCTATTGTGCATTTTTGTGACTTCGATTGTCCCACATCGTGCCGTATTCCTTTTAACCAAACTCAGCACGATAAAATCGAGAGTTGCTCGTGTTTCAGTTCCAACATTAACATGTGCACTTTATTGTGTCTTGACACCATCTAGCGTTTTCAACTTTTCATGTGGTTGCAACAGTGATAAGCCACAAAACAACTAATCAAGATCAACTTTTCAAGGATTTACAAAACAGTCAATTTAATGTGGCTGAAAAGTAAATTTCATTGCGTTTTCTTCTTTCCTCTGTTAAGTAATTAAAAGCTATGCTCCTTGGCCATCAAACTTGACATCACAATAACAATAGCACTGTTATTTTATATACTAATTATGAAGATGAAAGTACTAAAAATGGCTGATAAGCAATATTTCTGGACAAACGGGGTTGAAAAATAACCTCACAGCTAGGTATAACTGCGAAGATGAAGATGTTGGACAATAATATAAGGTTTTGAAGATTAAATTATTAAAACTAAGATTTGTTAATTGTGACCATAAAATTATAGGGATGTATGTATAATACTATTTTTATTAAGAATATAGTGGATCAACCGGTAAAAAATTGTTTTAGTGATTATAAAACTGGTAGCACTTAAACAAACATGGGTCATTCAACAAGATGGACGCATTGAATGAGATAATGACCAAGGGGAAATTTTGAAACTGGAAGGAATGATGACACATTTTGATATGATGAAAATAATTGCATTAGAAATAAAATGAACCAAAGGAAGGCATGATGTGCCTCCAAATTCATCTAGCAGTTAGCAACAACCGTTAATCACTGTTCAGCTTCTACCATTTTGCTGGCTATCTGTTGTCAATAATTTATTGGATAAGGCTTGAGCTGTTAAATGACCACCCTTCTTCATGCACCGTCACCCTAGCCTGGTTATTATACCAATAATAATAAATTTTTAAAAATGACCGATTGAAAATTAAAAATATTTTTTAAAAAATCAAGTTTACTTAAATACCTGAAGTGAAATTATTTCTGAAATAAAATTCTGACTATTAAAAAGTACTAAGGTGCAGTTTAGATTTTTTTTTTTCTAAATACTTGCAACAAAAATATATAATAAAATAAATTAATGTTTTTTCATAAGTTAAAATTCACTTGTGAATATTAACATTTTTAGAAAAAATTTCACTTAAATTTTCCAAAAATTAATATACGTAAATTAATTTTAACTTATAAAAATAATTATTTTGTTTTATATTTTGCTTTCTTCTCCTATAAATAATTGTTTAGAAATTTATTCAGATTGAGCCTAATTTTATCTAGTGGAGTAATTTTGTGAAAACTAGTGATAACTTATCATATATCATTTTGCATATTTCATTGCATGTATTTAGTGAAATAGTATAAATACAATTTAATTCAGAATAGTAATAATTATATTTAAAAATACATTTATCTTATGATTGTTCAAAATTTTTTATTAAAAAATTGAAAAGAAAAAAGGTACAGGCGTTTTGCAAGTTTTTAAAAACAGATTAAAAGGTGGTTTGAAAAACAGTACAGAGAATGCAGGAATAATAATAAAAAAGAGCAAATACCTTGCACGCTTCAAATCCAAGTGACATATCCTGAAAAGAAATCTAACTTCTAAATTTATAATATTGTCTGGGTAGGATAGCTATGCGTAAATAAGCTAACATTTGTCTTTGTCGTGGCCTCTTTTAATTAATATAATTCATCAAATTTTTATCTAATTTTTGTTTAGGATGATTATTTTGGCATAATAACCCGTGTCTAGAGCTATTTGTGGATATAATACATTTTTTAAAATATCACATGACTTTATATTAATTTAAACTATTCATAATTAGATTAAATGGTTAAAAGTTTATCTCCTTCACTCTGACAACAAAAAATTGTCTCATTCGATAGATACATAATTAGTTGAGAATATTCCATTGAATAAAATAAAATAATTATCTGGACTGAATTTTTATTTCCTGGTTGTTAAGATTAGATTAAATTTAAATTTAAACTACTGAAATAGGATAAAAATAAAATAAAAAATATGATTAAGAGAATAACACAAAATATTAAGATCGCAAAATTTTATATTTTCGTTTAAATAAAAATATAAAATAACGTAATAGAACGGTACATTTACGAGACTGAATTCAAATACAAAATGTTGTCAATGATACTCTAGAATTGGAGAAAATATGAATTAAAAGAGACATTTAAACAGTATTAAAGAAAAAAGAGTATTTAAAAATGGTAAAAAAAGTAGAGGTAACGTAGGGACAAAGATTTGAGGAGCAGACGATGTGCAGTTGCCACCTGCAAAAACGATTAATGATTTAGATAGCGATGGGACGGTAATGGCGTCAACCAAACACAACATTCTGACGCGTCTAAGATTCTTTCTTCTGTCATGCCTTTCCATTCCACTCTCAATTTCTAAAACACATCCCATCCAACAATACAATTACAGTTACAAAACATTATCAAACATAAGAATTGCAGGAATGTGATGTAACAACAACATGTATTTTTTATATTTAATTTTTTCAAATCTAAATTTGATCACATTGGTCGTTAGATTTGAATTCACGTTCTTGTAAAACATGAATCTAATCTTTTCATTATTTCAATGAGTTTAACCAAACTTAAAAGTAGGTTGTTATTGTACTGGTAATTGAAAGGTTGAAAAAAATGAGAGTAAACCTATAGAAATACTTTAATGCTTCAAGTTAGTCTTTATATACTATAGTAACCCACAACTAAGATATTATAGTAGGCCCATTCATATAATGAGCATGCACGTGGAGTTTTTAGAAAGTTTGATATTGGCTGACTAGTAGGCTATACTAAGTTGCTACATATTGAAATTAATAAAATCGTTCGTAATAAAGTTTAATTATCTAATTCAATCATGTTTTATTAAATTAGATTATGGAATAACTTTGAAACCTTTATACAACTTAAACTCAATCATGTTTAAGGGATGGCTACATATTCGTTATTTGTGTTTAATCATATTTACTATAATCAAAATCAGTAATGAGAATGATTTAGACTTGAGGAAGGAAAGGGAGAATTTTGACGTTGATTACTACAAGAAGGGTTCAGAAGGGATGCATGAAGGAATGATATACAGGGGATGGGACGGAGATTCATCTCACTACCCCGTTTTCATCAGAAGGATACACGTCACATACACGTATCTCACTTTCCATTGGTTCCTGCCAAATTCGTGAATCTTGCACTGCTCCCTCCTAACCATCATCATACTCGCAACATTTCTCTTCTGAAAAGTAACGATCCATATAATGACTGGGTTTATTATTTTACAAGAATTCTTATTATTTAAGTGTTTTAAATTTAATCGATTGGTTCTCTAAAGAATTACGTACCAGAGGAAAATAAGTGTTATGTTAATTATAAAACAATTGAGTGCTTTAAAAGTGATTCAATATGCCATTAAGTGTTTACTTTTGAAAGTTATCTGTCTCTGAAAGTTCTTTTGTTTGGTGACAAGAAGACACGTTCTGAAAGAAGAGGTAACTTTCCCAATGATTTAAATATGAGTGAATTCCGCCACGGAAGTTGATAATTGATTGAAGAAAATAAGCTTGAGCTGTTAACATCGAAATGCAAAGAAATTCACGAACCACCGTGTATTTAGTGTTGGTGGGATGGGTACCTATGATATTGGGTACAAGTGCACACAGCATGGATTGAAGGGGAAAAAAAGAAAGTGGCAATGTTTGAGTCTGCTACATGTGTTTTTCCATGTTCAACTTCAATGATGCCAGCCCCAGCGTCACGTAGTGGAGCTTCCATGAGATGAGATGAGATGACCTACCTAACCTCACTCTCTATATTTCATATTCATCTCTTTGTGCACGGCAGAAGCAAGGACAATAGCCATCACTATGTCCTGTAACATTAGTTCATAATAAATTACTATATTTGTTGGGTTAAAAAAACTCATAATTTTGCAAGGGAGTTTATGAAAATTTGAAAAGTTACTTTAAGTAACATGCTTTCAATTTTTTTTTTTCATTTTTGTCTTTAATCTTTTAAATAACTAATACTATAAAAGTAACTTTAAAATTTCTCTTCAAATTATTATTTGACACATTTTGTTAATTGTACGATTAATTTTATCAAATCTGATTAAAAATTTGATTACCCACATATATTTATTTGGATGAATAATAGATTGTAATGGTAAAAATTAATAATTGCTGGGGAATGATAATGCACATATTTGATTTGTAGATGCAATGGGACCCAGAAAGGGTAAATGTTAGCGCCGCTACATTTGGCAACAAGGTGGGATTGGCCCAAGGTTTTGCTGGAAAGCTATGCTACGTACTTAATAAATATCCCCACCCAGTCTCTACAGTACAATCATACTTGTAATAATACATAGCAGATAAATAAAAACGAATAATTTTCAATTCTATATTTTTTATACTTATAAATTTTCTTAATTATGAATTTTTATTTTTATTTTACGTTTTTAAGCTAATCAGTGAATAAATATTAGAATGATTTAAATAAAACTCTTTACGAACATAATTGCGTGTGCGTGTGAATAACTGGCATAGTCAATCCTATATTGGGTTGACTTTGAAGCTCTTCCGTTAGATCACAAAACTATTTTTATGAATAATGTTTTTTCAAAAAAATTACACAAAAGTTAATAATTATTTAATAAATAAATTAGTCTATATAAGAGCACCAAATCTTTTTTCTATAAAAATCCGCTATCCTACTTTTTATGTCTCTTTGTATCCCTTAAGCAACCTCCGTTGGTATTTAAGATTAAATTTGATTACAATAGTTTAATTTTATATCTTAAAATAGATACAAATAATAATAAATTTCAAATAAAATGATAACAGTTTACTCTTTTTTACTATTTAAAAAAATTCATCTTAAACTTTATTTTAAACTCAAATAAATATTTACTTAGTTCTAAGTGCATATGATAATTATGGACACTATTAAAGGAAGTTGATTCAAGTAATTTCATGTTTAAATTTTTATATATACAAAAATTTTGGTGATAAATTTATTCACTACATTCAAGTACATGATCCAGGTTAGATTCAGATTAAACTAAATGAAAAAAAAATTATAAAGATTTTTACCTCTAAAAAGTTATGATAATATAATAAAAAAAGTTTAAAGTATTAACTTTAAACTCTATTTAGTAAAATTAATTAAAAATTTATAACTTGTAATAAAGTATTTAATTGGTTAAAGCTACGGAATAAAAATAATTAAAATATATCGAATAACTAAAATATTCAGTATTATATCAATGTAACATTAAAATTAAATGAGAGATTGAAAATGTGCTATCTTGTATAATTTATTTAAAAGGTTTAAAATAAAATTATAAGTAGTAGCTATAAATTAAAAGCTACTTCAACAAACAAATTTGAAGTTAATATAAATTAGATATTTTATAAATTCAATTTACTTTAAACAACACGTATCTCTTTGATTTTTAGGAGTCAAATCTCTAACTAAATATTTGGAAACGAACATTTCCAACATTTACGGAAGACGGACCATGTGGTGTAAAAAAAGATTCAAAAATTCAGTGTAAAACAAGCATGCCCTTAGAATTAACATTTGGACAATGTTTAGATGCAATTTTTTATAATTAAAATTATTATTTTATTTTTATAATTTACAATAATATAAAATATAATTTTTATTAAAATAAAATGATAATTATAATTAATAAAGAATGCTAATAATACATAAATAATAACACACGAGTTATATCTCTTACATTTATAAATATGACAAAATACTTTTTGAAATTCATGCTCGTGAGATCATATATTTGGTATACTCGTTTAATGGAATCTTAAAGTTGAAAATAGAAAAAGCAGCTTCCCATAACCACGAGACTGCGTTTAAACTAAAAAAAAGAAGGCGTTGATAAGTGTTGGTTATAAAATGATGTTATATGAAAGGTTTAACGTTGTCTCTGTTCACACGTGACACCTTCAAATCCATGGACCAGCACGGCCATTGTCGACATTGACTTATGGAACGTGATGTCACGCGCCCAAAAGGAGAGTGAAGCTAACAACCATTTGAGGGGTGGCACAAATGGTAAAACGAACAATGCCCATTAAACGCGTGGGTTGAACCCACCCTGCCCCAAATAGAGTTAACTATGATTAACTAAACTAAACCAAGGTTTAATTAACGGCTTCAGTGATGAGTCCATCACTTCCCACTGTTTTAGCCGCAAGATATAGTCCTCTCCATCTCCAACTACCACACTTCCCGTCACGTTCCCATCACCACTAGATAAATAAATTCACCTTTTTTTTTTATCTGTTATTTATTAATCATCACACTTTAATTAATATACTTCTTTAACGCACATCTAAATTATATGATAAAATTTTACATATTATACTATTTTTCAAAATAAAATTTTATTATTCATCAATTTTTTTATATATTCTTAAACACGTTAACAAATTATAAATTTTATATTTTACCTTTTATTAAGATCTTTCATCAGCGCGAGTAGTAACTAATATAAATACCTTATTTACTAAAATTAGAAGTTTTATTTAAAAAACATTAATAAAAAATTATTATCTTAATTTTTAACGGAAACAGATTTCCTTCTCTTCTTGTACAAAAAATATATATGAACATGGTAGTATGTCATAATTTAAATGCACACAAAAAATGGTTTGCTGGCTCGTCAAGATACAGGGTTCCTCAGATCCAACGAAAAAAAAGTAACAATTTTTCTTTTTTCGAGAAGAAATAGGATAAAAAAAAAAGAAATAAAAAAAGTAAGGGAGCTATGTCCTATGTCCCACGGTATTATTACTATGACCAGCAACAGTGGGTGTTGATAGTTAAAGAAAGAGCTTTTTTTCAGTTATTTTTTCTTGTGTGTGTTGTTTGGACACTTGCATTGCATGAAAAGAAAAGGCTTTCTCTGCTCTGCTTTGCTCTGCCGCTGAGAGAGAGAGTGTGTGTGGGTGGGTCTATGTCTCTGCCTTTTTATCCGCGCATCCGTGTCGGTCATACCATTCATCATCTCATCACTTGGAATCTTCCAAACTTCACTCTATTCCGTTCCCATTTTTATTAACAAAAAACAAATCTTTTGGGTTAAATATCTTCTGGGTCTCTGGATTTTGAACTAAAATTATGGAACTTGGAGGAGATTTTGTTGCAAGGATTATCGAATAGTTAGTTACGGTTTTTTATATTTATTTATCGTTTTATCATCTTTCTGCCTCTTATCTTGTTCTGCCCGCAGACACGACAGCGACTCAGTCTGAAACTGTTAGTTGTTGTTTTTGTTGTAGCCTCCTCGATCTTGAACTGTGTTTTTTGAAACAGCTTCTGATTTTTGCAATGATTCAATTGCAACCTTTTTCGCTGTCTCCCCACCACTTCTCTTCTCTGTTCCATCCATCATCATCTGTTGAAAGCATGTTGTGTTTCAACTTTCAAGGTTGATTGAACCCTTTAACAGGTGCAACTCTGAGAAAGTGCTGATTCGTTTAACCTTTAGAGTAATTCCAGTCAGAATTGGTCTGTCACCAAAATTCGAACCTCGGGAATTTTAGGGGAATTATATGGTTTCTTGTGGACAAGTGGCACGTTTGTTTTGATCATATATGCTATTTCAGGTAAGAAATGAATAAAATGCATTTTGCTGATCCTTAAAAGGCGATGGAATTTTTTGAAAAGAAAAAATGAAATTGGTGAATTTATATGGTTGCAGGAATTTGAAGTGAAAAAAAAGTACTATCTGGCTCCAACAAAGGTGATGGAATCGAAGGAGAAATTGAAAGAGGTGGAAAAGTGTTTGGATCCTCAACTATGGCATGCTTGTGCGGGAGGGATGGTGCAAATGCCACTGGTGAATGCTAAAGTGTTCTACTTCCCTCAAGGCCATGCTGAGCATGCATGTGGACCCGTGGACTTCAGGGCTGGCTCCAAAATTCCACCTTTCATTCAATGTAGAGTGGCAGCTATCAAATACATGGCTGATCCTGAGACAGATGAGGTGTATGCAAAGCTTAGCCTTGTTCCTATGAACAACAATGAAGCTGATTTTGAGGATGATGGTGTTGGAGGCATCAATGGATCTGAAACTAAGGATAAACCCCCTTCCTTTGCTAAAACCTTGACTCAATCTGATGCCAACAATGGTGGTGGTTTTTCTGTTCCTAGGTATTGTGCTGAGACAATTTTTCCTCGTTTGGACTATTCAGCAGACCCTCCTGTTCAGAACATCCTGGCTAAAGATGTTCATGGAGAAACATGGAAATTTAGGCACATTTATAGGGGCACGCCGCGGCGGCATCTGTTGACAACAGGGTGGAGTACTTTTGTTAATCACAAGAAGCTTGTTGCTGGTGATTCAATTGTGTTTTTGAGAGCAGAAAATGGTGATCTATGTGTTGGAATTCGAAGGGCTAAAAAGGGAATTGGTGGCGGACCTGAGACATCGTCGGGGTGGAATTCAGTAGGGGGAATTTGTCCTTTACCTTATGGAGGATTTTCTTCCTTTTTGAAGGATGAGGATAACCAATTCATGAGGAATGGTAATAGCAATGTGTTGAGTCCAAGTGCAAACTTGATGGGTAAGGGGAAAGTGAGGCCTGAAGCCGTTATTGAAGCTGCAACTCTTGCTGCCAATATGCAACCCTTTGAGGTTGTTTACTACCCTCGAGCAAGTACTCCAGAGTTTTGTGTTAAAGCATCTTTAGTTAGATCGACATCGCAGATTAGGTGGTGTCCTGGAATGAGGTTCAAGATGCCCTTTGAAACTGAGGATTCTTCGCGGATAAGTTGGTTTATGGGAACTATATCTTCTGTTCAAGTTGCTGATCCAAGATGGCCTGATTCCCCTTGGAGACTTCTCCAGGTAGTATGTAACCTTGTTTATTGTATTTTAACTAGAGCAAAACGTACTTTATTATATAGCATTGATAAATGGTGAAGTGTGCTTTCAATCTGGTGGTCCCTCAATTTTTCCTTGCACAATATTTATTTTTGGTACTTTTGTTAATTTTTTAAGAGGAAAATGATTTATCATCCCTAATGCGAGTATGCTGTTTAACTAGTAAGGGAATTTGGTAGAAATTCTATGTCTAGATTGGCATCGTTCTTTTTGTATACTTCATATACATTCAAAATTAGCAAGTTGATGTGAAAATTTGTTGTCTCATAGGCACTAAATATTATAGAAAGAACGGAACATTACTGTTGGTTATAAATTTGCTGGTAGAGACTTAAAATTATTAATTGATTTCATATATGCACTAAATACATTTTGCATGTTTATCAAATTTAAAACCGGCTATATATGCCACCACCTTCCATATGAATGCATTGAAGCAATTTTTGTTCCTTGTTTTGTTGTTCCCTTTCCAAGCAAATCTCTATTTTGGTTTTCAGGTCACATGGGATGAACCAGAGTTACTTCAAAATGTAAAAAGGGTGAGCCCGTGGCTAGTTGAAATTGTATCAAACATGCCAAGCATCCTTTCCCCTTTCTCACCACCAAGGAAGAAATTGAGATTCCCTCAGCCCCCAGATTTCCCACTCGATGGCCAGATTTCAATGCCAACATTTCCTAGCAACTTTCTAGGTCCTAATAATCCATTTGGTTTTTTACCTGAAAGTACTCCTGCTGGCATGCAGGGAGCCAGGCATGCTATTAGTTATGGGATATCCTTATCAAATCTCCACCACAATAAACACACAGGTCTATTTCAGGCTGGTTTCCCACCACTTGATCACGCTGCTTCACCGATGAGGGTCTCCAATAATCCACCACTGCTAAAAGCCAGCACAAATGAAAATGTCTCCTGCTTATTATCCATGGAAAATTCTACTCAATCTTCAAAGAAAGTGGATGGTTTCAAGGCACCCCATCTGATGCTTTTTGGCCAAAAAATTCTCACTGAGCACCAAATTTCTCTGAGAAACTCTACTCGCACAGTCTCTCCAGTTATTACTAGTTCATCTGATGGAAATGCTGATAAAGTGACTAATTTTTCAAATGGTTCCTGTTCGGCACTTCATCCACAACTCTCCTCTTGTGAGGGGTTCCGGTGGTTTATGGATCACCACAAAGAAACTAGTTTAGAGACAGGTCAGTGTAAAGTTTTTATGGAATTAGAAGATGTAGGCCGGACTATGGACCTATCATTGCTTGGATCTTATGATGAATTGTACAAAAAACTAGCTGACATGTTTGGCATAAAAAAATCTGAGGTGCTAAGTCATGTGCTTTACCGTGATGTAACTGGGGCAGTCAAGCACATTGGAGATGAAGCATTTAGGTAGAATTCAATTTTACTATCCTCTTGATTGCTTAATTCAAGTTAATTTTAGAGTGTGACATGTTAATTATATATTTTTTATGCTCTTTCCAGTGACTTCACTAGAACAGCAAGGAGGTTGACCATTCTAATGGATTCCAGCAGTGACAATGGGGGAGTGTAGAGGAAGAAATAACACCATCATCTCAATTGTACAGTTGATTGATCAATTCCCGAGCAATGGAAGGAGGTAGTCTGATCTAATTTTCGGATATTAATGTTTCTCTTGAAGGAGATATTTGGATTTGAAATTTTCTTCTAGCGATGATAGCTTGTGTTTTTCCTTTTCTTTTTGAATTATAACATTGCTTACTTGAGGCTTTTGTTTAATAATTTTGTTGGGAAAAAAAGGAAGGAGAAAAGTGGTAGTGATCATATATGCCTTGTACTTAAATTTCTTTGACAATGGTTTTGTAGTATAAAATAAAAGTTGACAGGCTTATTAGTTACTGGAGACAAATCAAGGGAAAACCTCACTGTAGTTACCTTTATTTTTCAGCGATTGTACCATTGTTTTGTTGTGGCTTTCGTATACATATCGTGAGATTATACTCACTGCTTGAAAATTTATTTGCATAAATGCAATTCTATGGTTGAAAGTTTATACGAGTGTCACTTACAAAATTGGCTCATGTTCCTAAAAATATTCAATGGGGTATCTGTTTCTATACTGGTGGGTCGGAAACACGTTCCTAGTTGGATCATTTCTTTGTATTAGATTGGGACTTACAATTCAATTCCAAATGTTACGTGACATTAGCAAAGAGACATTGACAATGATCCAACAAAGAAGTGTGAACAAGTTGTGAGACACATTATGTTTTTTTTTCTAGAAGTAGTTGGATGCATTTGTGGTCTTCCAATTAAAACTTGCTTGCTTGACCCGTAAAATTGAAGAATAGAAGAAAGAGAAATTTAAAAAATAAAAAATAAAAAGACAAGAAGATTAAGTTTGTTGAAAGTCTAATGAGTGGATAGAAACATAGGTGGAGTTGACTTAATCAGCAGTGTAGCATCGTATCAGATGTTCCACACACGGCAACAGAATCACACAAATCGTGAAGCCATAATTGCGAGCAAGTAATAACGTGCCACGTGGAAGACAATGACAAGTATCATAGGGGAAGTACTAGTAACAACAATTCACAAATGTGGTTCTTAGCGTTCCAACATCAATTTCCCCTCCCCAAACCAAACCAGAATTCAACCAAATTACAGCTTTGTTAATGTAATTAATGATGATGGGGTTATTGGGATTGCAAAACAATCTTGTCAAACACAAAGTCAATAATGGGTTAGATTGGGACTGTGACATCCCTAAAATGTTGTTGTTGGTACCTAAAACCAGATTAGTAGCTAACACGCACTTCTACATAACAATTCGGAAACAAGTTAAAACAACATGGTTACTCTTTTATTTTAAGTAAACATTTTTATGTTTTAAAAATTAAATAAAATATTATTAGCAGCCCTTTTATTTCTTTTTAGTTTAATAATTTTCATTCACTTTAATTAACACGCTTCATCTATATGTGTTTTTAGTGTTTTGGAAAACTACATATTTAAAACTCGACCAATATCACATGAGAAAAACAAATTCATTATTTTTTGCTTAAATCATGCTTGAGTAAATGATATATATTAAATAGGGAAATGATACATGAGTATTTTTTTATTTTTATTTTTCTAAAAACAATGAATAAAGCGTTTTAATGTATTGGTTTAAACTGAATTTTCGTCATAAATTTACACCTAATTTTGACCATTCTTAACATGTTTTCGATTTACTCTGGCAAAGACGTTTTTAAGGCCTATCCAAACTAATTACCTAATCAGTTTCAGTTCAACTAATCGAATTAATCAAACTAGATAATTATGTTAAATATACTTTTTAAGTAAAAAACATATAAGAAAATATGAATATGTTATGGAATTAAAATTTGTCTTTCATTCCTCATTCATTTTAAGTATATTTTACAGGTCCTTTAACATCAATCCTAGGACCCATTTTAAACAACAAAAGGAAGAAAATTTTCATTAAAAAGTATTAAATAGTTGTTTTATTTTTTGATAAATAATTTATTTTTCAACAACACATATATTTTTAAAATTAGTAAGAAGATCGATGCTAAGGAAACTATGTTTTTAATACACTAATTAGGAAAACTCAAATGATTAAAATACTCATTTTACTTAATTTTTTTATAGATAAATTTTTATTAGTTTTTTAAACCATTTTAATTTCTTAACCACTGAAAATACAATGTATTAGTGAGAGTAAAAAATTAAATATATTTAACATTTTCATATTAAATATTATTAATGTATTTTTTATTGTACTTTTTGATAAAATATCGTACTCCCAACGCAATAATTAGACATTTAAATTAAAATATCATATGTTTCTTGTTTATCTATTTTTAAAAACCATGATTTATTTACATAAAATGTCAAGACAATTTTAATTATTAATGTTTTATTAACATTCTTTTATCTTTAAACAAATTTTAGGTACAATAAACAAAATACTAGTATCATTTAAATTGTTTAAAGGTGAAAAAACTTATTAATAAAACATAAACTTAAAAGATATCAAATGATTATTAAAAAATTATAAAAATTATTAATTATGTATTTTTATTCTTTTTTTAAAGAACGGAGAAATAAGAATAAAATATCTGCCGCACGTGAGAAATTGGGACAATGTCTGGCTTGGTAGAGTAAAGATAAAGCAAATGATAGAGATCTCGAATGGTGACATCATCGACGGTGGGTAACTTGGTTTTGCGCATGTGTTGCGGCGTGTTGGCGACTGGGCTGTTTTCTTCTTGTCTCATATATACTACGTTTTCTTTTGCTTTTACCAACCCATAACCATTGTGTTATAGCAAATCTGCAAAATTATTAATCTAATTCGGTGAGGGATTAGAAGTATTAACTGAATATATATCTGCGTAAATAGAAGGAATTCGTAAATGTATTGACAAAGAGAGAGCAGCGATTAGGCAAAGAGAAGAGAAGAGAAGTGACAAGAACTCTTTTCAAAGCGCTGTCTTCAATTTCAATTAGTTTCTCTGTTTGCGAGTGATCCAAAAAAATGGTATCTCTTTTGAGGACCCTTTCCACCAAATATGCCATGGTTTCTACCTAGAAATAAACGACACACTAATTGGTATGCATCACTGTCTAATTTCTTGCATCGGTAAAACCTCTGCAGAGCTTTGCAATTGCGTCTGTGATCATTTCATTTTTTAGGTCAGAATGTCTCACACTCTCATGCATGTATGTTTTTTAAAGCTAATTTAAACATTTATCTAGTGATCATAATTTGTGTTCAAATCTGGCTCTTATAAGATTTTGTTCAAAATATTATCTAACTATATTTTATGTAAGAAATGTTTTTTAGCTCCTATAAATTTGACATTCGAATTATTTTTAATTATCTTATTTGTATGTATAATTAGACTAATACATTTTATAAATGTAACTATACATATATATTCTCCAAAGGGGAGAAGGGAGGAACCTGTACAATTGTTTTCGGTAAGAGTACAGTTTTTTAATATGTATCGTTTTATTAATCTAAATTAATTAAATGCGATTGGGATTGAGGAAGTTATATTGAAAATTTTGAAAAATTGCAAAGTAAATTAAAAGATCAGAAATAAGTACCCATGACATGCAATTTAGAAATACAAGAACAGATAAATAAAGAAGTTAAAATACAGACTTCAGTTAAACCATTTTTTGTATATTTCGTAAAATAAAATATTTCTAATTCACTATCATGATATTAAGAATTACATTTCTTAATCAAATAAATATTAATATTTTGATTCACCATCTTATTAAAATCTTAATAAATAATCAATTCTTTAACTTATTTATTATAAACCTAAGGATGAAGTTCATTCAGCCCTTACAAGATCACAAGACCATAGTAACGGTCTCAAGGCAATGGAATGGAAACAAGAGTTTTTGTAAATAAAAAATTATTTTTCTTTCACTCAACTGGAGGACTAGAAATCTCTGAATATCATCAATGTTAGCTTAAAATGATTAAAAATATGAACAAATTAAGAAAGTATGTATATTTTAAAACGAGAACTTTATAGCACACTAACGTGGGTGGGACTCCCTGGTTGAATCTTTTTGATAGATCCAATCCAAATCACGGGGTACGTCATTTGCATTGAATGATGTGTTATTTCCTTACTCTCAATGTTTTATTATTTGACCATGTTATTATTATTATTATTATATTTCATTTTTTTAATATTGATATATTTTCAAATACACTTAAAAATATCTCCTCCTAATGATATAAAAATTAATTTTTTTCCTATATTATTTACCAATTAAAATTTTTTATTCATACTCTAATAATATTTTGAACACTTAAATAACAGTTGTGAAATGATCCTAATTTCCCATGTTATTTTGAATTTGACTGCATTTCAATTAAAAAGTTAAAAAGAAAATAGGAATAATAAAAAAAGTCCTCACCGCATTTTGTTACGAACCGGTATGAAGAAGTTGGTGTTTTGAACGAAAATAAAGAAAGTGTGATCCAAACACGACAGAGATTCGGATGACGCGGCACTATTACAGCCTCGTGCGGTGGTCCCCACAACCTTAATTGCCAACTCTGCCTGTCACACGGACACTTCCTCCATGTTCCCACCACCGCCTCTCATTGCCACTTCTTCTTTTTCCTCTTCTTTACCAAAACATTACTCTTATATATATATATATATATATATATATATATTCTACTAAATTTTTTTATCGAATATTTTTTTTCTTTCATTCACCTTAATTCTTTAAGTTATTTTTTGTCGATAATTTTTTTAAGATTTGATTTTGTTTTTCAATTTTGTTCATTTAGACGGTGTTTTGATGTTTGACGTTGAAAATTAATTCATAAAAAAGTGTTTAACAGTAATAATGATAAAGCCTTACAACTTAATTAATCATCGAGCTTTACGGTGATTGTTAGAAATTATAAAAAGTAGGATTGATTTGTTGGTAAAAATAGTTAGAATATTAAAGAAATGATGATTTTGGCGATGGAATGCGAAGAAATTGTATAGTTAGAAAAATCCTAACTCTAAACATTGTTATTTAATTAAGTTTGAAAAGCAAAGTAAAGTTTCAATCAAAATTTTATATTAAACTATAACTCAATAGGGCTAATTTAAATTAAGTAAAGTTTAAAAGGTGAAACTTACATAAATCTAAAGGAAAAAATGAAATAGAAATTTAAAATTAAAATTAAACTTGAAAAATGAAAAATATTATTACTTAGCCTGAAAATTTAATTTCCTTTCTCGTATGCACGTTTGTTTCTTCCTCTCGTGGTTCATGCTCTCTCCAACATAGGACCACGACTTTGTGTGTTTTTTCTTATTGATTTGATTTTTCAAGTAAAATAAAGTTATAGAACTTAAAATGCTAACTATAGAAGAAGTATTGAAAATGCTCTAATTGCAAAAAGAATACACGGCTTGTTATTTATTTAATAAGTTATTTTAAAATAATAAATTGTCACAGATTTAACAATAAAATTTATTAAAATAAAATAAAAACAACTACTTTTTTATAAGTTATAAAAAATTATTAAAATAAGCTAAAATTAATTTATATTCATAAATTATTGATATGTTTTCGTAAATAAACTTAACTATAAGAACCTCTAAACTGAAATTGGGAATGAATTAAAAAGTGCTTTCACTTCATCGTCGGGATATTAATTTCATCATTCTTTTTATATGTAACGTTAAACACGATAAAATAAAATAAAATATTCTTATTAAAAATTATATTTTTTAATACTATTGACACATTTAATTGCATTAAACTTTATAGCTTTTTGAGTAAAAAAAACTACTATATATAAT